CCCACCCCCCACCCCCTTCTCCGACAAGCTCAAGTGAGCCAGCGGGGCAATTGCAAACAACGTAAGCGCTACCAAGGGACACACAAGTTGCAGAACCAGAAGAGAAGAACGTTGCGAATCCATAACGGCTGGACAGTCATCTGTGACACAATGACGCCCCGGGGGGGAAGAGGTGCATTTCGGAATGCGTAGCCACGGCCTCCCCCTTCCTGGGAGTAAATAGCAAGGAGGATCCTCCTCTCAAGGATATTCAGGGGCTACATAGTGATATTCAACAGAACGGCAGGGGCTACATCGTAATGTTTAGCAGAATGGATTGAATGACAACCCTTTGCCTCGTAATAATGAGAATACAAGGAGGTTCACAGGATAGCAAAGACAATGGAAGAGGTTGAAGACGTGGTCCTCTGACAGCTCTCCAAATATACAATAGCCACTATCATTTTCACATCCATTACATATGGGGCCACAAAGTGGGAGAGCCTGGAGGAGCTGATAAGAAACCCGAGAAAAGCCGGCCCGTGGGAGCCTTTAGCTCTTCGAGTTATGAGCGTCTTTGAAAAGAAGGGCCGAAGGATCGGGGCCAGCCATCAGTAGCAGAGGGAGAATAGATATAGCCTATAGGCAGACAGTATCCCGGGGAAGCTTTGGCCAGCAGGAAGTAGGAGCTTTTCAATGGAGGGATTTGGCCAGCAGGAAGTAGGAGCTCTTCAATGGGAGGGGGAAACATACGCAGCCCAGAGGGACAGGAGGATGCTCCAGAGTAAAAACTCTAAGGGCTTAAACCACCAGTATTTGGCCCAGCTATCGGCCGCGGAAAAGAAAAGAGTAGAAATGTTTCTAGTTGGATGAATTTGGGCGCTCCTGTAGTGGCCCGTACGTTTCCTAAAATCGCGTAGCGTTAACGGGCATGACTTTAGGAAGTACTGGTGGTTTAATGCCCAAGCAATCAGTGTACTACGAAGTTGGATCTAACGGACACTGGTGCTGCTCCCCACCAATAGATGGAGCCTCCCCGGCAGTGCTAGAGGTGTCTGCTTGTATCAGCACTCCTAGCACCCGCGTGGGTTGTTTCGTTAAAGGAAAATAATTGCTGAAGGACAAAAGAGGGCCGGACATAGCACCATTTCGCCCTGCTGCGCATCAGCCTCCACTGATGCTATGTCTTCTTGGCTGTAAGCAAACATGGCGCTGGGTTTGAACTCGTGTAACCTTTTTTTTTTTTTTTTTTTTTTTTTTTGGTATGCATTGACCATCGTTTCTAAACAGTTTTGCACCCAGGAACGACATGTTCGTAAGGCGAGGTTTCGTGAGTTTGCGACTGTGTGCAAGGAAGTACAACATGTGTTTACAGTTTTCACAGGTAATCCTCCACCAACCCACCACTGTGCTACCCCAGTCAATCCCTTAATCTTTCTGTCTTCTGGTGAGTGGAGTGCTTCGTTGTTTTTTT